AAAACTTAAACATACATATGCTTACATGAATATTACAGGTATCATTAATTTTTCTTTTTTTCTTTTTTCTTTTTCTTTTTTTGTTTGATGCAAAGGAAAATCCAAAATTGAGCTTCATTTATTAAATGAACGAATTGACTTGCCAAGTTTTGCATTAAATATTTCTGCGCATTTTCTTTGTGTTGTTTTTTTTTGCCTCAAAAAGTTGACCTTTTTTCTTTTGTATCAGGGATTTTGTTGTCAAAACTCCGTTTCTTTTTTTTTTTCTTTTTGTTCGTTAAAAAAAAAACTTAATTGACTGTGTTGCGTTTTTCTTCTTCTTTTTTTGTTTGTTGTTACAACAAATAGTTTGATGATGTGTGCATCAAAAATTCTTTTGTATATTGAAATTTTTCTTTTTTTTTTTGTAATAGTCACCTCATTGAGCAGTGCTGTTTTAAATTGATTTTGTTTTTGTCTTTAAAATATGTGTGAAGTCGAATTATATCTATCCATTTGGTGTGTGTGTGTGTGTGTATGAGTTTTCTCTACAGAACAGTATCATTTTTATGATTTGCTCGATTCATAAATGAATGAGCATCTGTTTTTTCTTTTCTTTTGACTATTGAACATAGCCTACTTGTCTTTTTTTTTGTTTTGTTGGTTTATATGTATGTATTGATTTATGATTTTTTTTTTTCTTACACGTGTCTCAATTTTCCAACATTCATCATCGGTATTAATATAATCTATAATTTGATTTTTCGTTTTGTCTTTGTATGTTACGGTGTTGATTATATGCTCCCTTTCGTTTACGATTTAGTATGTGTCGTTCCCTTTCTTTTTTTTTTCTTTGTCTATGTTTGTAACGATTTTTTTTTTGCGAATAACAAGATAATTAAGAGATGGTATATATATGTAGGCTTTAGTTAACAATGATTATAAGCTTAAAAGAAAGAATATGAGGTAGTGGCATAACCAGAAGATTGTGGATGGTAGAGTAGTACCCCACGATTTTGCGGAGAATCTATATAATATTATGTCAATGATGGTAATTATTACATTTTTCTTTCTTGTGGGGGTAGGGCACCCGCTCGGTTTAGCCCACTCTTAATTACACTATTAGTTTGTGGGTATATCATGAACATTTGAGTACATGGATTATTCTTTTGTGTAATTAGTTTGATTTAGCCAACATCAGGAAAACATTCTCAATTGTCTAATCACTTTTTTGCTTGAGATTATTGCCAGGAAATCGATCATGATGAGTAGTAAAAAAAACAGATTTTTTTTTGCCTTGGTTCTCCAGCCTTAGCTTTTTGAGTTATGAATGTTTTACTCTATTTTCGCCCAGCGACCATATATATGCCTTATAGTCACAAAAAAACACTCTAAATTTTGAGTCAGAACGAATGTATCCTTTCTAACATATTTACATTTAAAGAAACGTCTGTTTTGAGCGGTGTTTCAAAAAAAAAACAAGTTTCTGTAGAAAAAGAAACACAAGATCCTCAGAAGATTTTTTCATCTGTGGAGCTCATTGAGTTGATCATTTTGGTTAAAAAAAAATGTTCAAAGGACAAGTGGCGATAAGACCATTTTTCCATCCCCAACATTTTTTGAAAAAAATTACATGCTTAGAATCAGCGTTAAATTCTGAACAAAACTATCTATTGATTTTTTTAAAGAAAAAATTTTTTTTTCTCTCTCCAATTTAATCTAGATATAGGTTATCGATCATGCTGATCACGAATATAAAGTTTGTTTTACATAAAAAAGTGATTTAAATGAAAAAACAGCTTATTCTGAGAAAGGATGTTTTTTTGACCTCAGTCCGAAAATCACTACCTTTTAACCCTAAAAGACAGTTTGGAATAGTAATAATGCGTTATATATGTGTGAAAATGATTATTCTATGAATTTCTGATAAATTAATGACTTAAAAAATATATATTTCCAATTTATTTGACTAAAAACTGTCACAAATAGAAACAAAAATCGATATTTTCTGAAGTGTAGGCCAATTTGTTTCCTAACCAGTTTTTGATCCAATGAGTTATATATATATAGATCGATGCAGTTTTTCATGCTCTATCCGAATATGACTTCAAAAGGAAGAAAAAAAATGAAGAAAGTACTCAAAAAGCGGAAACACTAGAAAAAGAGCAGCAAAATCATAAAAATGGTCAAATATTCCCAGACTATGACTAACAAAAAATAGTTTTGAGACAAAATGAATATGATATTCGGAATCAGAATGCAGAACTACATCCCATAGCATGAATTCGATTCCTGGTCCCTCTTAGTGCTTTTCTCATTTAATTTTGCTTGTGGTTCCCGTCAGTCGATATTTTGTGAAAGAAAAAATTTTTAAATCGAATTCATGCTATGGAATGTAGTTCTACATTCTGATTCCGAATATCATATTCATTTTGTCTCAAAACTATTTTTTGTTAGTCATAGCCTGGGAATACTTGACCATTTTTATGATTTTTCTGTCCGTTTTCTAGTGTTTCCACTTTTTGAGTACTTCATTTTTTTTTCTTCCTTTTGAAGTCATATTCGGATAGAGCATGAAAAACTGCATCGATTTATATATATATATATAACTCATTAGATCAAAAACTGGTTAGGAAACAAATTGGCCTACATTTCAGAGTATATAGATCTTTGTTCCTATTTTTGATAGTTTTGAGCCAAATAAATTGGGAATATATATTTGTTAAGTCATTTATCTATCAAGAATTCATAGAATAATCATTTCCACACATATATAACGTACTATTACTATTCCAAACTGTCTTTTAGGGTTAAAAGGTAGTGATTTCGGACTGAGGTCAAAAAAACATCCTTTCTCAGAATAAGCTGTTTTTTCATTTAAATCACTTTTTTATGTAAAACAAACTTTATATTCGTGATTAGCATGATCGATAACCTATATCTAGATCAAATTGGAGAGAGAAAAAACAATAGATAGTTTTGTTTAGAATTTAATGCTAATTCTAACTATATAATTTTTTTCAAAAAAAAATGTTGGGGGGCGGAAAACTGGCCTTACTGCCACTTATCCTTTACTCAATGAATTATGACACTAGTACTAAAAAAACTTCGTCTATTGTTGACTGTCAAAATAATCAGTGCAATGAGCTCTACGAAGTTCTACAGACAAAAAAATCTTTTGAAGATCTGATGTTTTTTCAGTTGACTACCTACCACGGATATGTTTTTTTTGGCATGTATTCAAAACGAATCGTGTTCAAACATCGGTACCATTGGCCATGGAATAACCTTAAACAAGTGTCTAACGGCTATTTGGCTCGGATCACTCGTCCAATAGCATGCTGACTAAGTTATGACAAAACTCAAAACAGACTGTTTTTTACTATTTATCATGATCAAACGAATGACAAATAGTCTCAAGTGAAAATCGATTCGATAATATGTAATTCCTAAGGTGTATATATGACACTGCAATATGATCTAAAATCATTCTTCGATTATTTTTATTCTTTAAAAAAAAAGCATCTGACAAAACTAATTATATATGAATTTATTGTTCGGTTGAGTCATTAGGTTGATTAATTTTTATAGCTTCACGCCATTGTTTAGCTAAGTCAGGATTTTCTTGTTCCCATTTAGCTGAAGTATTATGTATAAGCCAATCACTTTTATTAATTGTTTGTCGAAGTTGTGATACAAGATCATCTAATTTGTTTTCTGTAGTTGTTGATGTTGTCTTCGAATTATCCGTATTTGACATCTTCTACAAGACAACAATAATTATCGTTTTTAAATCTTTCGATTCAATCAAATGAAAAAAACGAAAAAGAACTTGTATATAGATGCTAGAATATATAAGAAAAAAAAAGAAGATGACTACAAAAGATACATAATATAAGATAGAATAAAAACAATATTTTATGGATTAATTGTTGTGCCCAATAATTTTAAAAATTCTGCAAGCCATTTTGGATGACCAGGCCAAGCTGGTGATGTAACAAGATTTCCATCAACAACTACTTCTGTTGGTTCAACTTCAACATAATTTGCACCAGCTAATTGAAGATCAGGTCCGAGTGTTTTATATGCTGTAATTTTACGACCTGTAACAACACCAGCTGCAGCAAGTACTTGAAGACCATGACATATACTTGCAATAGGTTTTTTATTATTATCAAATTCACGTACAAGATCACGAACTCGTTTATCTAATCGAATATATTCCGGTGCACGTCCACCAGGTATTACTAATGCATCATAATCTTTAGCTTTAACTGATGAAAATGTTGCTGTCAATGTAAAATTATGACCACGTTTTTCTGTATATGTTTGTTCTTGTTCAAAATCATGTATAGCAGTTGCAACGGTTTCTTTTGCTTTCTTATCTGGACATACAACATCAACATGATGACCAACTGTAAGTAAAACTTGATAAGGAACCATTACTTCATAATCTTCGACAAAATCACCAACAAGCATTAAAATTTTTTTCGGTGCCATTATTATCTATCTAGAAATATATTCGAAAATATATATGAAAGAAATTAATACAATATTCGAAAATTAATTTTCCTAATGTCCTTGAGAGGACGACGACATTAACTAAGAACGTATTACATAATGCACATAATCTTGATTTAAAAGCTAATTAAAAAAACTTCTCTCGTTACAAACATGATATAATATTATCAATTGATAGTAAAATATTTTTTATAAATAGAAATTCTTCAAAAGAAATATGTAATTAAAATGCAGATTATTTGTATGATAAATTTTAACTATCATGAATTATGTGCTGAAACTAGAATAATAAAAATTTTGGCTTTTTTTTTTTTTTTTACTAAATAAAAACAAAGAGTTGTTATTGCTGTTCTTATTTAATCATGTTAGTTTTTTCGTGTTGGAATGACACAAACATTTTGGGAACAATAAAAAGAACATGAAAAACCAACAATTCATCATTATTATGCGTATGGACGGACAACATTAGAAAGACGAAGAAAACAAACAGTCTATGACGATTATTCTTTGGAAGTTGTTTTTTGTTCGCCTGATGCCGTTGTTGTTGAACTAGGTTCATCATTAGATTTCTTCGATTCTTGTTCATTTGCATTATTTGTACCATTTTCAGTTGTCATTGAAGTTGGTTTTTCATCATCTTCATCTTCATCTTCATCTCCTTCTTCTTCTTCGTCTGAACCATCACCCATATCCATATCAGGCATACCACCCATGCCACCCATACCACCCATGCCACCCATACCACCCATACCACCCATGCCACCCATGCCTTAAATAAAATAATTAATTAATAATCGAATAAGACAAAAAAAAGCAATAGAATTTTCTTACCTCCAGAAAACATATCTTGAAAATTACCACCATGTCCAGGTTTTTCATCATCACTTTCATCTTCATCTTTCCAATGATCAAAATCCGTTTGTAACCAATGTAAACGTGTTTTATCTTTTGTTAAACGTGGCCAAAAATTAGCTGTTGAATCTTTTTTTTTTAATAATAAACGCCAAAATTTTTGACCAACATTTTCATATTTACTCGTTTCAGGATCAATTTTTCCATGTAAATTTATTTTAACAGCATATGTGTTGTTATCTTTAGTATTCGATGATGTTGAATGACCTTGAAAAGATACAGAATCTTCTTCAAATTTAACATCAACTTTTTCAATATCGGGTACAGCAATTGTTAATAAAACATGTTCACGTTGTTGAGCCCAAAGAACACGTGGAATTTGAGTTTGTTCAGGCATAATCGAATACTAAATAATCAGACAGCAACAGCAAATGATATATTAACTAATAAGGCGATGAAGTGATTAATGTGAGGGTCTTTTATATGCTTGTTTGTTTTTTTTTCTTCTTCTTTGATTAAAGTTGATTGTGGCGACCTCATTTTCAATAGTATTAGATTTTAAAATTTTAATACTTTTTTAAAAAATTTTTCTATGTAAAATGATAATAATTTAAATTTAATTTTTAAACTCATTCCATAGTCAGCGTGTCACATCAATGATTCGTTCATTTTTTCTTATTAGGTTGCTGATGGGTTGATAATACAACGAATGTTTGATATGTGCAAAATGTATCTCATTTGAAATTCTTATTTTCACTCAAAAATATCTTATCAAATTAAAATACAGAAATATTCATGCTAGTTCTCTAATAAAAATTTAACTAAGTTTAAGGTTTTTCAGACTATCGAAAGTAATAATTTTAAATGAATTCATCAGTCTATTTATTGAATATTAAATCTACTTTTCTTTTTAGATCTATAATTTAATAAAACTAACAAATTCATTCACATAATGGCTCGTGATAGTGATCAAGTAAGAGAAAATTCGATGAATAATTTAATTTTAATATATATATATATATATAACTATTAGGTTTTGGGTATTTGTGCTAATATTCTTGGTATAATTGTATTTTTACTAGTCGTTGCTTATCATTATGTTCAAGCAAGTAATCCACGTAATCAACGACATACAAATGAATAAATTATATTAAGATAGTATAACTTTTAACATGGGTTGTTTTACTTTATAACTGTTACATTTTTTTTTCTTTTTCTTTGATTGTTATATTAGTTAGTTATCTTAGTTGACATTGATGATTATGGGAAACATTTACATTCTATTCTTCTTTTGTTTTGTTTTTTTGTTTTTAAAGAAAAAAAAGTGCATTAAAAAGAAATAAATTATTTGATAAAATGTATTTGGAAGAACGTAATTTTTTATTTTCTTTATGAATATAAATAGATCATTCTAACTTATTCGAGATAAACAAAGACCTCATAGGAATTGTTTATTTTACGAGGCAAGAAAACATAAGCAAAATTCTCAGTTCTCTATATAACATAACATTTCTAAAGATCCATCAGATATTATTTTTCTTCGGACCAGACGTCAGCTGTGAACAATGTAATCAAAGTAGTAAGTTTTTCTACTAAATCTATTTATTATTATTATTTAATGTCATCGAGATCAGGGTGTGGATGTTGGTGTTAGGATGGATCTTTCTTTGAATGACACTCACACACTAGTTTGAGATCGACATTTTGAGCAGAAGACCCATGGGGGAAACAGCGGGCTTTTGGACTTGAAGTTACTTTGAACTACTTCAAATAGTCTACTTTGGCGTACTTTTCTACTTAAAGTCCTCTGATTCCCCCTTGAGAGGATTCTATGCATTTGATGAAAATATTGTCGACGGAGGATCTATTAACTACGTTGCTCAAAGACAAATGAATTGATTGAGAACACACCGAACTTAACTTCTCTAAAGAACGTATTTTTCCAACGTAGGCCTCCTTATTATCGTAATAACGAACAAATTTTGCCGGTCTCAAGAATACAATATCAATCTCTGCTGAACAAACCAACGGAAGAACGAAGACAATAAATGAGAACAAAAGATTTTGTTTTTTGACTAAAACAATATTTTTTGCGCTTTTTAATCGAGAACTCGATTTGTCAGGAGCAATAATGTACTTGAACATGTTCCTTATATTACATCGGACACGAGACGTACATATACGATGATGAGACAGATTCGTTGCGACACGCATTGAACCAGCTTAGCCATAAAGATCCAACGAATTGATCCGTCCACCTGCAAATGACCATCTTTTTTTTCATCAATACAATGAACCACCTCCATTCTGCGTCTATCTGGACAAGGGGTTTGCAAGAAGCCGTTCTGATTTCGCCGTCGATACATCTCTCTCTGCCAATAAATAAAACTGTCTTGGAGTGACGATCTCGATCGTCGCGATTCTTTATCGGGTTTCATATAATCTTCAACTTATTTTTCTTCATGCCTATAAAATCAGTCGCGTCTGTCTATTGATTAGAGGAAATGAATTTGACCGTAGAGGATTGAACATATCGTTTCGATACAATATCAAATATAGAAATGAAAAAACTTTTGTCTTGGAAATTTCAGAGAACTTTCACGGTAGACTCCTAAGTCGATTAATAAAACTTTATCTACGCGCTTTTTCTGTCATTTGAGAAGCCTATTGAAAAGTACGGGAATCGAAAATTTTGACATTAGTAGAAGAAAAATGAGTATGCTAGGATTGTAGCCCAAAATTTGACTTAGTATCGTTATGTAGTTAGTTTTTTTCTAAACTAAAGTAAAATTTAAAACTATTATCGGAATTTAAAAAAAAAGGCTAGTGGGTGAAATGCTTGTAACTTTTGAAGGAAAGGTGATAGAGACCTGCGGTTTTCACCGTTGGAAAGCGGAGATCAAGGTACATCGAACAGTATAATAAAGATTTTTCTGACATGGTGTATCATGGTTTTATCTCAATTATTAAAAAAAACGATGCTTTAACAAGTTGAAAAAATTATCGTTTTTACAAAAAATTGTGAAAAACGTGTTTTTTTTCCGCAAATTTGTTGAAAAACTAGATAGAAGCTACCAGTAAAATGAATATAACTCCTGAGCTGTAGAAGATACAGACCTGGGGTTGGTGTAGGATTGTAGATCTCGATCTAAGCTATCGATTTCACTATTAGGAAATCAAAACTGAACATACTTTCAGAGAATGGAAGCCTCAACAAGTTTGAGTTTGAACATTACCAGAATAAACTGTATCTGATGGCCTGGTTTTTCCATACTGTTATGTGCCATGTCAGGCTCTATCCTACGGTGAAAACCGCAGGTCTCTATCGCCTTCCCTTCAAAAGTTATAAGCATTTTACCCGCTAGCCTTTTTTTAAAATTGCGATAATAGTTAATAGGAATTTCTGTATACAGTTTTTGTAGAGCTTTTTGCAATGTATATTTTAAAAAAGAAACCAATATTTTATCATTTTTTTTCTTAAGTCAAAATATATGCGAAATAAAAAAATGTCGCAAAACTCTTATTAAATTCGATATAAGAATAAGAATGATGTAAAGATGTCTTCTCCTATAGCTCTAAATTGCATTTGTTAGTGTTATCTTTCCTCTAGTTTTCTCTATTGAAGGTGAATGTAGAAGAAACATAGATGTAAGATCAGTATTAATATTCCCTCTTAGTTGTCATCAAATTTCGTAATTATTTCGAAGAGAACATTTTATCTTAATTCTGAGAAGGACATCCTTTTGAAGGTTATATTAATAGTCACATTATATACGTATAGTGAGACGAATACTTTTTATCTTGAATTTTTTTGTTTGTTAAGTACGTAGTCGATTCATTTACATTAATGGAAAATGACTATGGAGAATTCAGCTGATTGATACTAGAAACAAAGTTGTTGCTCGCCATCTGCCAAACTCAGTATCTGTCGCTTCAATAGTAATTCAGCCAATGATTTCTAATTATATAAGATGCTAAAAAAAAAAACTCGTACTCATGACTTCATACAGGAGGACGATCATGAAAAAATGACAAGTGATGTCATAGAGGAAGAAGATCCGTACAAAAATTGAGAAAAAATCAGGATATAATGTGTGAACAGCTCGTAACATGAATTTATATATATGTGAAAATTCAATTATGCTGATATAAATGTTGTAGTATTTAAATGAAATTTTCTCAATATAAAGTTTAACTAACTGTTCTTCTAATTAAAAAAGAAAATTGTTTGAAATTAAAAAAAGTTATACAGTGTCAATTTCATTGAAATAATATTAAAAACAGAATAAATCTAATTATATTTATCTAAGATGTTTAAATGACCACATATTTTATCTTTAAAACAAATCTTTTATTCTTATTCGATTATGAATTTTCTATGATGTTATTAATTATTGAAATAATTCAATAGAATAAAACACTGTAATTTCTAATATTGAGAAAAACAAATGTTTTTATTTTTTTTGTTTTTAAATAAAAATATGCTGATTTGGATTTTATGAAATTCAATAAAACAAAAATCTTATTTGAGACAGTACGAAAAAAATATCAATATATTACTCTTGAATTGTTACATTTATTTTCAAAGTTGAAAAGAAAAAAAAACCAATAACAATATAATCAAGTTTAATTTTGTTGTTTTTTTTTTGTTTTTCCATTTAAAGATAACTATTAATTATATACAATAATAAAATATATCCTAAACCATTACATAATTTACCACCATAAATATATCTTACGATTAATAAATTTAATGAAGTAATCACTAAGTAATTTTTCTTTTTCAATCATGTTAATTAAATTTTTTATATATACCTCAGAAATATCTGAAATACATAAAAAGAATAAATGACGTAATTTATGTTTGTATGATAATAAATATTTAGTTGTTTCTATCATTTGTGTACATTGTATTCCTATTGTTAAATGTTTTATTTCATGGAATAAATCAATAACTAATCGAAGTTTTTCTGATGTACAATTGGAACGAAGATGCAACATTTTAATTTTATTTTTTTCTAATACATGTTCAAAAGCATGATGTTTTCCAGTTTCAATTGAATTAAAATTATCAAGGGATAAAAAATCACATTTAAATATTTGTAATTCACTTGTACTATATAGTATATCAATCATTTCATTAAGATCAAGATTAAACTTTTTAATAATTAATTTGGTAAGTTGACTTAATGGAACAATACGACTAAGTATATCTACTAATGAATCATCAAATAGTTCAAGGGGTGGGTGTGGGTTGTGGGGGTGGGTGTGGGGGTGGGTGGGTGTGGGTGTGGGTATGAGAGAAGGGAAGAAACCCACATCCACACTCACACCCGCCCACACCACACCCGCCCACACCCACACCCACACCCACCCCAAATATATAATCTTTTCTTCTAAAAAAAATAAAAAAAACAAAAAGAAAAAATAAAGTTAATGTTAATTTATTTCTACGGATTATCAGAACTTCATCAATAATATTTGAAGTCATCCATCAAGAATATCCTTGAAAAAAAGTGACATTTTCGAGTCTCCTCTCTCTACCGAAAAATATCCGTTTTTTTTGCTGAAGTCCCTCACCCTAGATGTTTACTTTGGAAAATTTTTTTAAAACGTATTCATTTGTTCAAAATTACTGTTTTTCTTTTCTTTTTTTTATTCAACAATATATATATTTTCGACACTGGTAGTCTGTTCATATATTATTGTAACAAAGCATTTCAACATTGAAATTTCTTTTTTTATATACATTGTAACATCTACTTAGGGCAATCCAAAAGTAATGGCAGTGACACTTTAATACCATATGATAAACTTTAAGAAACTTTCTCTCTATATAGTCTGATAGAGAAAACAATGCTCTATTTTTCTATGCTTGAAGATCATACTTCACCTAATATCATAATAATAAAATCTCGATAAAATCTGTCTTTTTGTCATATGGAACGGTTATATTAGATGCCTATTTAGTGGATATTTTTTGAATAACTTTTGATAAGAACAAGATAGAGACCTGTAGTTTTCATCATTCAAAAGAGGAGATGAAGATCTATCGAATCGTATATAATACGTTTTCCTAGTATGTTGTTTGAAGTTTGTTTTATCAATTTTCTAAATAAGGAAAAATTGTTTTTTTTTATCAAAAAGAAAAGACAAAAAACAAAATCTTTCTCACAGAAATTGCTAGAAACATCACTTAGAGCTTTGACTTTAATACTTATAACTCCTGTATAATTGATTGTAAACATCTAAACCTCATGTAGTCTTCCAGAGCTACCATTGGCTGTTTAAATATATGTCTAACAACTGAAAGTTCGCTATAAATATCTCATGAGCTAGATTTGTTTTCAGAGAGATCAATTGAAAACCTTAAAAAAATCATGTGAATAAAATGTATAATATATGATTCGAAGAATCTTCATCTCCTATTTCCATCGATGAAAACTGCAGCTCTCTATTTTGTTCTTATCAAAAGTTATTCAAAAAATATTCATCTGCCCTTTTTTGTAAAGAGACATTAGTACATCCGTTATACATAATACAAAAACAGATCTTATCGAGATTTTATTATTATGATATTGGGTGAAGTTTGATTCTCAACCATAGAAAAATAGAGCATTGTTTTCTCTATCAGACTATATAGAGAGAAAGTTTCTTAAAGCTTACCATATGGTATTAAAGTGTTATTGCCACTACTTTTGGATTGCCCTAAGTATATACTCTCCATGATAAAAGCAAACCTTTTGAATTATTTTATCATAGATAGAGATAATTTAATTTTATTATTAGAAAAAATTTCATTGTTTTTTTTCTTTCTCTAGAATTGATTTATTGAAAACATAGTAGATCTAACGTAATTTTCAGTAGTACACAACTCATTAATTCATTTCGAGTTTTAAACCCTAAATTTATCTTCTACAACTTTTCAACTATTTAAAAATTTATAATTTGAATATTTGAATTTTAATTTATAGATGTATCTCGAAAATGTTCTTGCTGAGATTGTGTAAAATTGGACTTAATTTTCCACTCTCAGTCTTATATTTTCTACTCTCTCCATCACTCTCATATTATCTACTGGGACTATGAGATATTCATTCTCATCTTTACATTAGCTTGTGGAAACTGTAGGATCTTTGCTCTCATTCTCACCTTGACATCCTCAGTATTAAATATTCTAAATTCGAATCAAGACGTTTGATTATATCTTATTTATTTCTAGTTAATTTTCGTCATTAGTAAAAACAACATCTGTATTTTAATGAAAACAAAATCTTGCATTAAAATATAGAAAAAAAAAAATTTCTCTAGTTTTTATCGAGTAGAAATAAAAGTCACGAAATATTTTACAGAGCAAGTTACAGATAGCAAAATTGTTGCATTCTACAATCTGCTTTTTAATTAAAGTGAAAACAGATATCAGAATTCGAACATCTGAATAATATTTTGAATAAGAGAGAATATATGAAAGAACGACACTGACAATTAGAAGATCTAAAGAAATGAATTGATTTAGAAAATTTTGAGATTTTTCGTACAGACCTTATGTTTCAAGGAGATAAGCATGATGCTAAATTACTTTTCGCTGAAGAAAACATTTTTACCTAATAATAGTTAAAATATCCATACTCTAAAAATTTTTCACACCTGAGTCACATAGATCGCTTTGAGTTCCATCAAAATCACTGTTTAGATATTTCCAACAGGCTGTTCGTAACAAAATATTAAGAAAACAAAGCTGTTGGTAAACTTTTTTCTACCACTTCAGGATACAATATTTTTGTAGCTTGCAATCTATCCTATGACTTTGTTAACCTGTTTAAACGATGTAAAACAGATTAGTCATCTCTTGTATGTCGCTGACTGTTGCCAACTTCATTAACAAAATTATAACTAATGAAAATGAAAAATCTCATTTTTTACCTATATGGTTGTGCTGAATAAAAAACACCACTATTTAAACGTTCGAGCCAATTATGTTCATGTTTAAAAAACCATTTTTTTTCCATCCAAAATGATGATTTAAATTGATTAATTACATCATGATATGTTAGTTCATTTTCTGATATAAATCCATCATGATTTATATCAAAAATACGTAATTTTGGCATATAAGACGTAATCAAATATTCCCATTTTTTTGCATCTAAATATTTTTCATCATAGTGTGTTGAAATTTTGAAGATTTCAACATGATAAAATAAATTTTTTATAATTTTTTCAAATTGATTAAATTTAATTAAATAAATTTTTAATGAAACATATTTTAAATTTTTTAATTGAATAGAAGAATATAATTGAATATCATGATGAGAATAAAAAAGATAATTAATTGATACATGATGAAGTTTTGGAAAATAATATAATAAATTATTTAATGAATTAATTGAAAGATTACCTTCAATAATTAAATATTCAATTTTACTATAATTATATTTATTAAAATAATTAATTGATTGATTTTGATCATTTATTGTTTGATATTTTATTTTAAAATATTTTAATTTTGATAATGATATTATTTTAGAAAATATTTTATTTAAATTTTCAATCGATTCATTAAATTTGATTGTTAATGAATTTAAACCATATAAACATTTTAATTCATCAAAAGTTTTATCAAAAATATTTTCATTTATATGAGTGATAATTAAAATTTTCAAATTAATAAATTTTAAACTAAAATCAAATGATGATAAAATAATATCATTTATAAATATATTTGATAAAATTAATATTTTAATATGATGTTCGTTTTTAATAATTATGTTTTGGTAAAAAAATTCAAAATTTAATTTTGATATATATGGAATATTTATTTTACTTAAAAATTTTGAATCCATTATTAAATTTTTAAAACGTTTGTTAAGGTGATAAAATCCATAATAAACTTCATAAAATTCCATATATTCAAATATTTCAAAGAATATTTCATTTGGCACATGTTCAAGAAGAAGTCTAGATGAAATAAAAAAAAAAATAAGAATTACAAAATAAAATAGATTTTTACATAACTCACTTTTTCAATTTATTTTTTTCTTTATTCATTGTCATCAAACTTATTTGAATTTTTTTCTCTATAATTTATTTTATTTCTGAGAAAAAAACGAATCATGTGATCAAGAATTATCTAATGAAGAAAAGGAAAACATGTGCGTAGAATAACATTTATATATATATAGAGAGAGAGAGACGAGAAAAACTAACAATATTCATGGAATAATATATAAAAAAAACCAATTCAAGAGATGCAATTATATATTAGTCACATATTATATGATAATAAAATAAAAATCATTATAATAAATATGTTTGAAAATTGAAGAATAAAATAGATTTTCAAATAAGAACACACAATATCAATAATATATTAATAAATTTTTCTCTTACAATATGAAAGACTATAGTATTATATTATGTCTCTAGATATTCGACGTTTTTCATGTTTCTTTTGATGTCAAGTTTCAATCCTTATTAAGAAAGTTTTAAACACTTATAATAAATATTCATAATTTTAACTTTTTTTTAAAATAATTTTCACAAACAAAAAAAAATCTACCATTATCAAATAAGATTATACTACAAATAATAGTAATATAAAGAACAATTTTTCAAAAGAACTTCAATATTCGATATCAAAAAATTACGTTATTTTTTTTTTTAATAAATTGATTAATACATGACTTTCTAATAGAAATAGTCCTTTAAAATAGGATGACCTTCTGTTTTAGGAAAGAATGTTTACCAGAGGTTCAAACAAGTCATCAAATCTGTAAGTCTCTATTTGTCTACCTAAAAATGACACAACCTTTAATTTTTTTTCATTTTATTATAATTCAAACAGACTTCTTAAAATAGACAAGCTATGTACATATCATATTTTTTTAAATTTTCTTTAAAAATTTCTTTTTTTTCTTATAATGAAAATACAAGTATAAAATATAGCACGAAGAATCTTTTGCTTCTGAAAAATAAGAAATGATTTTTTTTATCACTTGGTCTGTATAGAATGATCTATAATAATAGAATCTAACTATACTATTCATTGATCATTTTATTGATTTAATTTATTTATTCATTTTAGAACGTTATTCTTTTCAAATTTTATATATTTATTATTATAATTTTATAGAAATTGTTTATCAATATTTATTATTTCATATTCATATTTTGCTTATTGTAATATGTCCAAATGAGATGTATCTTCTTCAATTAGTTCATAAAAAATCATTTAAAAGATTTTTAATTAAAAATGAAAAATTTTCCTAGCTGTTAATATTTTGTTTTTTTGTTTTTGTTCTACAGTTACATATTGTATTAAATCCACAGATCTTTCATTTAATCAGATTCTTTTTCAAACACATAATTTTTTTGCTTTTAAAAAAACGATTTTCTGCTTTCACTCAATTTTTATTATAAGATTAATGCTAAGAGATGCACACAGGTCACAACAGACAGACCAGACCGATGAAAAGGAATGACAGGCATAGGTAGGCTGGAGAGGTTCGCAGTCTATCATGGACCGGCCAGATCTGCGAAAGATAGGGCTGTCGCTTCCCCCCCCCCCGCGGTTTTCAAAATAAATTTTTCTTGATGACTCTGGTTTTTTCAAAAAAATACTCAGTTTACAAATATGGTGAGATTGTCTAAACTTTAGTTGAAACTAAAAACGTCGGCAAAACAAAGTTAAAAAGAAAAAAGAAATACTACAAACGTTGAAAGTAAAAATATTGACGATAGGAATGTCGAAAGCAAACTGTCGGTAGAAAAAATGTTAAAAAGTGGTCTGAAGACTTTTGAATATTTTCTCATTTAGAAAATAAAAAAAGAGGCAGATAAATTTGAATAAAATGTTTATTTTTGAGAAAGAAAGAATAAAAGAGAAGCATAGGTACTTTCGAATATTAGTTTCATCAATCTTAAATACTGTTCTTATTGGAAAATTCTAATGGTTTTTTTTTCCTACAACCAAACATAGTCTGTTGAAGAGATCAGATGCTGCAATGGGATAATTATGATATTCATTATATAATGTGTTCATTCAATTTTCTAATACTTTATCTTGCGCAAAGAAACAATATCATTCGTTTGCAGTCTCTGATTCATAACCAGCTCTCATCTCCAGTGTTTACTCCAATGATCCGCTACGCATGGTTTAAAAGCGGCTATGCTGATATTGACCCCGATCCATTTCAAACAGTCACCGAAGTATGTTTTAAATTCAAACAAGACTACTGTGACATATCGTCCTGCGAACAATTTGCATTCATTCGATGTAGTTATTGTAACAAAATATTATGCTTACATGACTTCTTCGTTAATTATCATACTCATGGTATCTGACTTCTATAAACATACACCACATTTTTATGATTCTCCTTTAATTCTTTTTGTGCTTTTTTTCTAATATTCACGCAAACATACACAAAGATAAGAATTAACACCATTTATATAAGCTTGTTTTCAAACCAATGAAAAAGGCAAAGGAAGGATGCTACGTTTCTTTAATAAATAGATCAGAGCAACTCGGTAATAAAGTCGAAAAATTAGCTTAAATGATTCATTGCTTATCAAGTCGTGAAACATGAAAAGCTGTAAAGTTAAGACAAAACCCTTGCAAATTCTCTTTCTCTCTAGCTATATAACCTTTCGTGATTGAATTTTGAAATGATCAAGGTCAGCAATCAATATAGATATGAGAAAAAGTTCAGTCTAATATGTTGTTGTTTCATCAAGAAAACGAACACTCTGTAGCAAACCAGGTCATGTCCGTTAATAACTTGAAACATTCATAACTCCCGCTAGAAGCAACTTGCGCCCGAACTAATTTGGAGTTTATCACTCCTAGCTATGCCCTACCTAACCATCATATTCCTGACCGAAAAGCTTTTTATCGCCTCGGGTGATTCCCTCGTTAGTATCGTTGTGTGGTTAGTTTTTACTAAAATAAGGCAAAAATTTAAAATTGGTTATGTGTTCGATTATAATTCAAGAAATACGTTGTATAATTGTGAAATTATATCAGATATTCTAATTCCTATATTGCAAATGATTAACCAAATCTTTCTTTTATTCGTATATAGTACCCAGCTTCAATCCACGGATCGAGAAAAAGCGGTGACGTGACAAGCAACGCTCCCATTGTCCATATCCATCCCATGAACTTGCCCACAGGAGTCGTTGTCTCCATCGGTAGTTTCACGGTAATTTCTATGAAGATTAACACAGCTTGCAACATGAAGAAAAGCATGTTCTTGCCTGTCCATAGATCACCAACTATCCCTAATACATACTCGTGAAACACACCCGATATAGCAAAAGCAAGAAATGCTCTTGTCGTGTTGTTCATTATCTTAGTTGTTCCGGTTAGTTTCGGAATGACAATGAAGGACATACGATGCAGTGTTGCTTTCACAGGAGCATTCCATCGGCGTGACCAAAAGTCGCGGATACTCGTTGATGTAAATGGAAGAGCGGGAAAGGGCGATTTCATTCGAACATTAAACAGAAGACCGCCAACACCGAGTATGATATTGTACGTCATTGAAAGATGAATATATGTAATGACGGCCAGCAAAACATGGCGAACAAGCCAGAAGAATGGAAGAAATGATGAAACTGGAAGAGAGAGCCATTCAATAGGTATGACACGGAAAAGAACTCGAAGAACGACCATTTGGCCTATAGCTCGGAAAATGGTAAAGATATTTTCACGACGAGCGTCTATTGCATGTTCTACTGATTTTTCTGCCGAAGATGGAGTCACTAGTGGAAAAGTCAAAATATCTAGAATCACTTCTTTCACTGTCATCCTTCGCGTGTATGTCCATTCTTGACCAAATGTCAACGCCAGAAATTTCAACGCCAATACAAAACTCATTCCGGCAGTTGCTTCCTCTATGTGTGTCATTCCAAAGGACGAAGGCGAGTAATATTTGAAGTAAATGGGTGCAAGGAAACCAAGTAGAGAACAAATAATCGAAGTCGAATGTAATAGATGAATCGCGTGGAAACGTTGACTAGCCAAGAGGCCGAAAATAAACAGCAAAAGCAGACAAGCAATGAACAACCAAAAATTCACGTAAATAATCTCAGCCATGTTGATGAGTGAAGAAAAAAAATGTCAGGATGTATATCAGTCAGTCGTTCGCTTGTTACTGATAAGAACATAGAGAAGCAGTGCAAATGTATGGATGCATGTTGAAATCAAAGAGATCATATCTCACTTGTTGACATACAAAGTATATCGTAATGAAAACAATACACACTAACAATAGATTCATTTTTAACGAGTTGGCCAACTAACGATAATAAACAGAGTGTGAGTGTAGGTACGGACTGTTGCTAACGGCATTGCGATAGTGTAATTCATCAAAATAGTAGATAGTCATACAAGCAATTTATGATAAAATAATAACAAAAAATATAAAAACCTCACTGAATCCGTCTGATAAAATCACGCAAATGTATTTGTCAGTATCACTCGACTGAATGTATATTATACATGTATCCATATTGTTGAAAGTCTTAAGAAGATTAACGATAAAGTGCAAATGTTCTTTGTCATGTAAATAGTCGGCACTGATATCGACATGAACATTGAGTCAGATCATCAAATTTATCGTTTTATTCATGAATTGGTCGTATACGATGCATAGTACTTTTTTCTACTGATGATGCTGCCATTAATAATATGATCAAAGTGATTGAATCGTTATTTGTCTTTGCAGTACTTCAATACTCTAGGAGCCGATATTATTTTCTAACAGATAAGAAAAATATGTTCTTATTAGAAAATGTAATGGATGAGATATAACGGGAAAAAGACACAGAATAGAAAAATAAACACATTATTCCAATTGCAAATGTAATTCTAGGAGGTCGAAAGATAGTACCACCTTTTGGAATCGATGAATTTCTTGCACATAAATACAAGAGATCAATTTGATGGAAATTGAAATTCAATAGAGGAAATCGACTGATTTACTAGTATGAACGCTGCACGATAAAAATCTTTGACAAATGAATCTAACGAAAGTAACATCTTT